ATAGTTTGGGAACTTGTCTCATTACCAGTGGCGGCGGCGCCTGTAGGTTGTAAATGGATATTTAAAACCAAAAGGGATTCAAATAGTAATGTGGAGAGGTATAAGGCACGTCTTGTAGCCAAAGGCTTTACTCAAAAAGAAGGAATTGACTTTAAAGAAACTTTCTCTCCAGTTTCTTCGAAAGATTCTTTTAGGACAATTATGGCGCTTGTTGCATATTTTGATCTTGAGTTGCATCAGATGGATGTCAAAATAGCTTTTCTTAATGGTGACATTAAAGAAACAATTTATATGGTGCAGCCAGAAAACTTTGTGTCAGGAGACCCAAAGAATATGGTTTGCAAATTGACTAAATCCATCTATGGACTCAAACAAGCTTCTCGTCAGTGGTACTTCAAATTTCATCAAGTTCTCACTTCGTATGGTTTTGAAACTAATGTTGTTGATGAATGTGTGTATCACAAGTTCAGTGGGAGTAAACACATATTTTTGGTTTTATATGTTGACGACATATTGCTTGCCACAAACGATATAAACTTATTGCATGACACCAAGAGATTTCTATCTAAGAATTTTGAAATGAAAGATCTTGGTGATGCTTCCTTTGTATGAGGAATCGAAATACTCCGAGATCGTTCTCGGGGTATTCTGGGATTATCACAAAGGAGCTATATCGAAAAAATACTCATTAGATTTGGCATGCAAAATTGTAAATCAGGTGAAACCCCGGTTGCTAAGGGAGACAAGTTTAGTCTCAGCCAATGCCCGAAGAACAGTCTTGAAATTCAAGAAATGCAGAAGATTCCATATGCCTCAGCTGTAGGGAGTCTAATGTATGCTCAAGTATGTACGCGTCCGGATATTGCGTTTATAGTTGGCATGTTAGGCAGATATTTAAGTAATCCTGGCATGGATCATTGGAAAGCAGTCAAGCGTGTTATGCGATATTTACAGAGAACAAAGGAATATATGCTCACATATAGGAGATCCGATAAGTTAGAGGTCATTGGATATTCCGACTCTGATTTTGCTGGATGCCAAGATAGTAGGAAATCCACATCAGGCTATATTTATCTGTTAGCTGGCGGAGCAATTTCTTGGAGGTCTGCAAAGCAGACGCTCATAGCTTCATCCACCATGGCTGCAGAGTTTGTAGCATGTTATGAGGCATCAAACCAAGGGATATGGCTGCGGAATTTTGTCACTGGGTTGCGTATTTTGGAAGGCACTGAAAGACCACTTAAGATATATTGTGACAATAAGTCTGCAGTTTTATATTCCAATAACAACAGGAGCTCGACAAAATCAAAGCATATTGAAATCAAGTTCCTAGTTGTAAAAGAAAGAGTGCAAAGTGGACAGATTTTCATAGAGCACATTGGGACAAACTCCATGATAGCGGATCCACTTACGAAGAAACTACCACCCAAGGTCTTTCATGAGCACACTACTCATACGATTGATGTAACGAAGACCGCTTTGATCCTATTTTACTATAGTTAATGGACAAGATTGTTTGGGTACCCTCAAGTTATGATAACAAATTTCTGAGCTCAGTAAAGTTAAGCACATTTTTCAGGATACATATGTGGTCCAGTGGGAGATTGTTAGATAATGTCTCAATGGGTCCACATAATTAAATGTGGTGTTATCATTTATAAGAAGTCTACAATTTAAGTGATTCAATTTAGTTAATAGGCTTAAGGGTATATGTGTTATGGACCTAATGTGTAGATACTAGTTGTATAATTTCTATTTCTATGAGGGGCAGAAATAGAAATTAAAACATATTGGTTAAAGTTGGTTTTCATTACCTTTCAGTTTTAAACCAATAATGGTTAATTTATTGGTTTTTATTACCTTTCAGTTTTAAAACTAATAATGGTTAATTTATTGGTATTCATTATCTTTCAGTTATGAAAACCAATTACAACCTTTAAAAGGTTATGGTCCCTATTCCTTCCTAAGGTGGAAAAATAAGAACACTTTTTTTTTCTCTAAATCCTCTCAAGGAGAAACATAAGGCACCAAAGGGGAAAGGATTAGAAGGCAATAACATAGTCAATATCAAGGTTTTATTGACAATCAGACGCTTCCGTTTAACCGTTCATCGATGGATTCGGGTAAGTTTTAGTCTTGTTTTCTTGATGATATACATGGTAGATGATCCGAAACATGAAGCTTCATGTTCTGAAATTTATGTTTACAAGGGGATTTTGCAAATGTGATAATTGTAGTCATTGACTCATAAAAAAATACCATTGCTAAAACCATATTTAACTGGTGTTTACCCTTCCAAATAACAAATAAGAAGTTTGTTTTTTGGGCAAATTATACTAATAGTCTCTATAATTTGAGATTTGTGTCACTTTACTCTCTAATTTTTCAATTGTAATATATTTGATCCTGAATTTTGAATTTTGTTTCAAATAAAGACAATTAGGGATACAATTGTTTAATTTTAAGGGCAAAACCATCAATTTAATAAAATATAAAATAATTTGACAAAAATAAATGTCAAAAAAAATATTTTTAATTTTTTAAATATTATTTCTATCCACTAAAGATAAAATTATGTAAAATTAATCAAAATTAATAAAAATTACATGATTAATTTTTAAAAATTAATTTTACATGATTATCACCCAAACACATAATAAAAATTAATTTGGTAAAAAATATAAATAAATATCTAAAAGATTTATCAATTTTTCATAATTTTATCTTTAGTGGGTAGAAATAATTTTTAAAAATTCAAAAATATTTTTTTGACATTTATTTTTGTCAAATTAGTTTATATTTTATCAAATTGATGATTTTACCCTTAAAAAATCTAATGATATTTTCAATTGTCCTTATTTGGAACAAGATTCAAAATTCAGGGTCAAATGTATCATAATTGAAAAGTCAAAAACTAAAGTGACACAAACCTCAAACTATAAGGACTATTAATATAATTCACCCTTATTTTTTTTTATTTATTTTCACATTATTCTGAAGAGATCCATCCACTTCTGCTAGCCAGATGTATTCGGGGAGTCGGTTTTGGGATTTTTGGGCTTTCGGCCTCGTTTTCTCTTACTGTCTCCCAATAGATTTTTGATTTGTGAGAGTCAAATTTTTCTATGATATATGGGTGTGGAGTGAGGAATCTTAGATATTACAAAGTAATATTGTAAATCTCTTTCATTACTAAAAATGACAGAGGGACCTTAGACTAATTTTTTCATATTTTTATTCATTTTTCATTTACCAATCTGAACATAGTAATGTCCATCATTTTTAATATGTTTATCAAATTTTATTTTGTCACAACCATCAATTCATACATTTTCTTTGACAGTTAGAAAATAGTATAATCTAAATTAAGATTGAACTATCATACCGTGCAACCACACTTCAAATATGAGTAATTTTATTTTGTAACAATTTTTACGTATTAAAAAATTAGTTAATCTATTCCGTCTACTCATTTTTTATTCAAGATTCTAAATTGAACTATACAAGAGTATGATACGAAAATCAATTTTGAAATCAAATTCAAAATTTATCAATAAGATAAGAAAAATAAATAAGTAAAAAGTTATTGGATTAAATTTCTTAAAAAATTCAATTATCAAATAGATTTAATCCATGACCATTATCAACCGCAAACAACCCACTGGAAGAACAAATATCAGACATATAATCCAAATAGTTTCAAAGTTTATAACTACTTAATACAGATTCAGATTATTTGTTTTCAGATTCTCGAACATGTTAAATTTATATCTACTTAATACATTTCAGTTTCGGTCAAGTTAACTTTTAAAAAAAATTATGAGAGCTGAATTAAAAGATTTTACAAGAGTTGAAATGTAATTTCAAATACTATGATTCCACAGCTAACAATCAAATAAAATAAGAAAAGTCATTTTTCATTATTTTTCAACACTAGTTCAAACATATTTAGATTTGATTTAAGTATTAAATTATGGGAAGTGATTGAGACCCCCTCCAATCACCACACCCACCACCCCCTATATACACGTGGCGGGTGGTGATTGGAGGAGAAGGAAAAAAAGAAAAAAAAAAAAAGAAAAACCGGCTAATAAGAAAGAGAGGGGGTCAAAGGGAGTGCCTCCTTGAGGGGGTCCAACACATTTTCCTTAAATTATCTGTGATAGAAGAAAAGAAACCTGACGAATAATCTTAATACAAAAAGATATAAATGCCTTTATAAGGATTAATGGAAATTGAATTCAGCATTAAATTTCTTTCCGATGTAACCCAAAAAAAAAAAAAAAAAAAAAAAAAAAAAAAAAAAAAAAAATCAGCATTAAATGTAAAGTAAACAATTATGTTATTGCCGACCAAAAAAAGATGGCTCTTAAAAAATAAAAAAAAAATCAAAATCAAAATAAAAAAATTCAAAATCAAAATCAAAATCAAAATCCAAACCATTTAACAGGAGGAGTTGTTTCATCTTAAACCTAATTACAACTTTATGAAATTTAAAGATGATAAAACCCATATTACCATAAAATGTGCAAAATAAGCAATATTAGTTCAAGTTCTACAGCTAAAAACTGCATTTTTAAAAACAAAATAATAAATAATAAATTATAGTTTTAGTCCTCTGCATTTAAATAAATTTTCACTTCAATCCTCATAATTTCAATTTTATCAATTTAAACTTTACACTTTCAATTGTGTTTCAATATAGACCTTCTGTCATTTGTTGTTAGTATTTTGAAAAAAAAAAGGCAAGATGATATGAAACTCAAGTGAAAATTTCAACAATTACAGCACAAGAAAAATCAATAAATAAAACACTCCTGTAATATTTTAAATTTCCTTTCGATTCCACTGATTTCAAACATGTTCTTTTTCTGTCCAAAATATTAGCAACTAACAAAGGAACCGCATTGAAAGTATAAAGTTTAAATTGATGAAGTTAAAACTAGCAAGATCAAAGTAAAATTTCACTTAAACTAAACCGATCATTGGGCAAATTATCCTTAAAAAAATTAAGCACACCAAGATAGTAATTCACAAATTTTCGTTCAAATATTATTATCTGTTTTGGTGTCCAGGGGCGGCCGGTAGTGGCAGGGGAAAAGGGTAGCACAACACAGAAAGAAGTTACAGGACATAAAGTTCCAACACAAAACCAAATTACTTTAGAACACCAAACATATATGATTATATATTGACATTTTCTTAACATCTACCTATTTACTAGTGGCAGCCTCATGGGGAGAGCTCATCAAGGCGGCGGTCCATGATCAGTAACACAGATTCAAGGTATGCTGCTTCGCTTGTTCCGGGGAGAACAGCTTCTTGTGCTTCTTGAACAATCTGCTCAATCACGGATTCCTTCTTCAAGGTTTCCCTGCACATGATGCTTCCAATGGCAAAGGGAGTGAGTCCTCTCTCTGCACCTTTCTTCAGAAGCATAGTGGAAATGCGAAGCGTGCGTGCACACTCAAGTGGTAGGTCCCACCCATAAAATTTCAAGAGTTCAATATCTCGATCAGCATCGAGTGATCTTATGTAGTCAATGGTGTCCGGTGAATAAGGCTGGTGTGCTTGAGGCCAATACAGCCAGTCGAATGTACAATCTTCAAACTGCATTGAGATCAAAAAAATGAGAATATAATTAAATCTGAAAATATACATGGCCTGCCAATCAATTCAATCACACTAGGAAAGGATTTCATTTTACAATGATGAAATCAATCTAAAGCAAAAGTCAATGATTTGACAACTGACAAGCCAAGTTATCCTCATTTCACAAGGAAATTTGTGTATTCGAAGGTTTTTTTTTTTGGTTGGGTGTGTATTCAAAGTTTACTAAAAGACCATGTGACAAATGTTCTGAAACAGAAGAAATATGTTTCCTCTGAATTGATCCAAGCCTTCCAATTATAGTTCAAAGAAGCATAAACATAAAAATATCATATTCAATACGCTTCCTTTGAATAGATTCAAGCCTTCCTAGTTTAGTTTGAAGCATAAACATAAAAATATCATATTCGATATGCTTCCTTTAAATTGATTCACGTTTTCCTAGTTTAAATTGAAGCATAAACATAAAAATATCATATTCAATAAGCTTCCTTTGAATTTATTCAACCCTTCCAAGTTTAGTTTGACGCCTTAACACAAAATTGTCATATTCAATATGCTTCCTTTGAATTTATTCAAGCCTTCCTAGTTTAGTTTGAAGCATAGAACTAGGAACTTCCAATCACTGTTACACAGGCTTCCTGAGCATCAAATGAATTATGTCCCAAACCAGAATTTCACAGATATACATTATATACTACATTATAGTTGTGTATCTAATTAATTATATAATTGTCATTACAATGTGATTAAATTGGCCTTCCACTTGAGACATTTAGGTTATCTAGTACTCAAAATGAAATAAGCAGTCAAATAGAATAGCTTCATAAACAATAGTATATCAAGTAAACATAGTTTAAAAAAAGAAGAATAACACACTTACATTCTCAGGCAAGCAGTACCCATGATCAATTGGTATAAGCACAATCTGACCATCACTATCTCTCTGAACCAAGATGTTGCCAGCATGTCTATCGGCATTCGCCAACCGGATATCCAACACAGATATCTTGTGAACCTCATCCACGGGGAAAGCACGAGGACCCATGTCCTCACAACTTCCACAATTCTTCATGAACATCTGCAATGACCCAATTTTAATGTTCTTAGAAGCATACTCATACCCTTTTGGAAAATTGAATCCTCGGTACAAGCACTTGACCATGACAGTTGGGGGAACCCCAGCAAAACCCGTGTCCTTCAACAAGTGCGGACCACTCCTTGGATGATCCAAAAGGTATGCTGCAACTTCTCTCAAAGCCCCTTCACCTACTCTTGTCCCCTTCTTCAACCCTTCCCCATCTATTGACAAGGGTAGCCCTCGAGGGTTATTTACAGCCATGGGCTCCTCGTCAATTGGCTTAAAAACAGAAATATATTCCTGACCAAAAGCATCTTGCATGAAATAAGCACCCCCTGATCCCTCCGAAGACCTTATAGGTTGGTTACCGCTTTCCAACCCATCAAAAGTTGAGTTAATTAGCTTCTTAATAACTAGTGGCAATTCAATCTTAGGATTAACGATTAGAGGTTCCAAAAGGAAATCTCCTTGCAGTGGCTTCCCAGCCACAACCTCGAGCTGCTTAGATTGTGTCCCATACTCATCTTGGCCCCCATCTACCACATTAGTCCCCCTCTCATTCAAATCCAACGCCTCGATTGAAATTTCAAAATCTTTCTCCACAGGTCTAGCGCTTACTTTTGCTGATTTACGGAACACCAAGTGGATCACAGCATCATCCTTTTTGCAAATTTCATCTATAAGTCTCTGATCTTCAAGCTCCTCACCATTACAGATTAACTCTTGGTCTTTGAGATCACCAAAACCTTTCCCTTTCTTAGCAATCTGGTTTTTCACATAACCGACGTTTCTTGTTCTCTCAACTTGGAATTTAAACTCCTTCCCACATACAGTCCGAACAATAATAGCTTGGAGATCAGAGAACCGAAGGATCAGATGTAAAACATTTCCTTCTGTGACACCATAGTCCCGGACACAAGAATTGTTCCGAGACAGTTCTTTGCCTTCAAAGACCAGTTTTTGTTTTTTCACGAAAAATCCTTTGTAGTTCTGAATCCTAAGCTTAACAGAAGCTATTGAATCCGACTCCAAAATACGCATTGGAATCACAGATCCAGCAACAGTTAGGTATATCCAGATTGACTCCCTTGACCAGGGATCGTGTTGACCAGAGACATGTCCCGGGAAATTCAAAGACTCTTCGTAAATTGGACTAAGAGCAACACGGGCAATTGACATTGTACTAATACAAGGTCAGTACCCTTGCACCCTATATATCAGATTATAGGCTTGTAAAATGAAGATATCATCAATAATCAAAAGTGTTCATACTTTATGGAACCCATTTACCAGGAATTAAGGACCTCCAAAGACCCAAAATATGACTAAAACCCTAAATCTAAGGTTTTTGCTTAAATTTGAACATACCCAAATCAAAGAAATTAAAGAATTGCCATCAAGATATGAGTAAATAGATTCCACATGTATAAAGACAAAGAAATAAAGTACCCAAACCAAAACCCTAACCAAGAGCAACCGAGTATCACAAAGATTAAGGTTTTCTTTGAGTCACCAATAATTTGCAACTAAAGATCAAAGCAAGCTCAAACCCAAAAACCTAAAAATCAAGAAAGGCCTCTGAAATTAGGAACTAAGGGGTTCAAGCAAGAAAGTCAAATACGAGCTGTGAACATTTTCTGGGAAAGCAGGAAAGAAAATGTGCAATGGAAACTAAATGCCAAAGCTTTCAAATCAAACTCAAGCCCAAAAACCTAAAAATCAAGAAAAGAACTCTGAAATTAGGAAGTAGTAGTTAAGATTATGTAGAGATTGAAACAGTGGGGTTTATGAAAGAAAGAAAGAAAGAAAGTGATGAGCAATGAACATTTTCTGGGAAAAACAAGAAAGAAAATGTGCAATCTTACCAAAGAGAAAGAATGGAAAATTGAAGCTATGCTTTGATTGATGATCAGGAAAATGTGTAATCTACCCAAAACCCATCTTTGTCTCCTCTCTCATCAGCTCCAGTGACTTTTGACCCAAGTTCCAGAAGTCTCGGATTTTTTTTCTGGGTGTAACCATGAAAAGAGACAGAAAATGATGAGTGAGAGAGCAGACTTGGAATTCAAGTCTTGCAATGGATTTGGATTGGATGACACGGTGACGGATTATGGAAAGATTTTAACGCCGTTACACATTGGAGTCACTGTTCTTGCCTTCATTAATAGCCCACTTTAATTTTGAAATTTTTCTTTTACTTTAAAGCCCTCAAATGTCCTGAAATTCCCTTTATATTTTATTACATAAAAAGGAAAATGATGTAAACATTTTGTATGAAAATAATAAGGCTACAAACTCAGAATTATTTATCCAAAATTTACTTAGAAATAAAAATTAATAATTCAAATTCATTTCACTCAGAGATTTCACATTTCATCAATTTAATCTCCGCCACACATACTCATTCTGAGTAAATTATGAGTTCCTAATTCTGGGGCCCTAACTTTTTTGTTATAAAAATATTTTGAGATGTGAAAATATTTGGAATTCGAATTTTGTTGGCAATTTTCTACTCTTACTTGTAAATAATCATGTTATACGAGAGAGGATATCATCACAATAGGGTCTCTTGTTTATTATCTGAACAATTTATTTTATTAGACTTTATATATAGATCATTCATGAAAAAATCATATTGATATGATAGTCAAAGTCATGTTATTTTATTATATTTATCTTTTTAAAAAATAGACTACCTACAATTTTTTTTTTAAAAAGACTAAATATAATAAAATCATAGAGTTGTAATTATCAAATCAAGTTATTTTTTTGTGAATGATCTAAACATAAAGCTTGACAAAATAAACTATTCAAATTATCAAAATAAAACTCATAATGACTCTCATAGAGCTCAACAACACTCAATCCTATCCATTTTTCCACTATGATTAGTTAAGATATTAAACTCTATTATATTTATACACATAATAATTTTTCATTATTGACAGCTCAGTAAATCATAATTACCATTACGGTTTGAAAAATTAGAAGAACAAAAGCCTCATTTGATTTTGTTTGGAGGAACACTAATAGTGTGTGTATTATTTTATTTTATTTTAAGATTTGAATTATAAAGTGTTCTTTGATAAAAGAATCATTATATTTACATTTTTCACAATTATCAATAGTGGTCTTGATTGGTTTGATTTTTGAAAATATTTATAATAAAAAAAAGGAATTAGTTTGATTAAAATAAATTCTAAAAATTAATTTTACCCTTGAAAAAGATAAAATGATATAAAAATAATGATCATTTATTATTATTATTTTTTTATTACCAAATTAAATTTTAGTTTTTAAGGAAAAGTTTTTTTCTAAAGACAGAGGGTATTGTGGTAATTGTGTATAGACAAATTTTACACGCTGGGATTGTCGTGTACGACGAGTAAAACGTATGTAACGGTCGGTTACTCTCTAACGGAGGATTATTGACGTGTTAATCGGGATTAAGAAGTGCTTAGCTGCTTAATTACTCTTAATGTATCGAACACACCAAGACTTTTTCTCACTTGTTCATTAATTACATTTACATCTTTGCATCACCCTACCCAATTATATTTTGCCACGTCAATTGACTGCATCATATGCTTCTCAATGTGAGTAGTTCTTTAAAACCCTTAATTCAAACTTTTTTTTTTCTCTTTTTATTTATTTATTTTTAAAAAATTATATGTTATCAATTTGTTTATCATTGTTTTATTTTTTTATATCACCAGTTTACACCAGGGTGTTTGTTTAGACTTTTTTCAGTCAAGTTATAACTTTTATTTTTGGAAAAGTTATTTTGAATTATTTAGTTAAATTTATTTGAAATAAATTTCTGATTCTAACAACTTATTTTAACTTAAAAAGAACTGATTCTGAAAAGCTGCTTACCCTTTATTTTTGATTATCAGCTTCTGCTGTGGACATGTTAATTACGGTTATACTCTTAGATTTTTTTTTTATCTTTTATTTTTTAAAAAATAGAAAAATGAAATAGACTATAGATTATTTTTTTTTATGAGAAATGTAAACAAGTAATAAATAATAAAAAATAAAAATTAATTGAAAAAGTTACTTCACAGCTTATTTAACAAACATTACTCAGCAACTTAAATCTATAATCCAACAACAACACCAAATAGGTTAACAACTTCTAATTAAAATCATAATTTATAATCTGTTAAACTATAATTTATAATCTATTTTAACAGTTGCACTAAACGAGACACATTTATGATTGGTTAGTTTATTTTTTAAAGAAATAATTAATAAGGAGTTAATAAAAGTAAATAGTATATTACCATGTACTGAGGAATGATTTGAGAAGTTGGTTAAAAATTAATTTTTTGATTTTTTTGAATTTTTTATCGTTTTGTGTGTAAAAAATGTGAAAGTGATATAACCCAAAATGGATTAAAAGCTTTTAACTAACTTTCCAAATTGTCCCCAAGTGATATTGCGGTAATTGACAGAGGGATCGTTTGGGAATATGGTTATTTTAGTTGATTTTTTTTGGCTATTTTAATTTGGTTAAAAAAATTATGTTTTAAATGATTTTTAGTTATTTTTTTATAATTGATTTGATGATTGTGAGAGAAAAAATAAAATTATTATGGTTTGAGTGTGTAACATTTTGTCTTATTAACTATTTTAGTATTTTTTTTGTCTTTATTAACTATTTTAACTAAAAATTTGCATCTCAAACACCCTCATAATTACATCGAAAAAATTGAAATTAATACAAATGGTATAAAAGACATAAAGATTAATAAGAAAAAATATATATTTCAGTGTAGGAGATGGTAAAATTATTTTTCTATTCATATAAAAAATAAATTATTGATGAAAATGAGACTAAGTGATATATAAATTAAAATATTAAAGATGTTCAATATAAGCATATCAAAATTTTAAAATTTATTACATTTTTTTAACCTTAAAAAAAGTAATTTACATATTTTTTACTAATGGGATTCTAGTACAGGTGTGACTTAACATGAATTTAAACCCATTTTATGAAGTGTCGTACAACCACGGTCTAATGAGCTTTTATTAAAATTCAAATAAATATTAAAGAAAGTTAAATTCTAGGACATAAATTTCACAGACTAGGTGCTTCAAAGACGGTGTAACGTGTTGATAAGGGTAAAACAAAGCAAACAAGTGAACTCATTAGTATTCAAACATAGGATTAAAATCTTCTGTCATTGATCTTTTTGCAATAATTTTAGTGTGGTGATTCAATATTTTTATCAGAAGTGATATGTAGCTCGAAAAGAGCTCCCGAATCGTCCGAATTTGAAAAGAAAAAGAAAGAAGAAGAAGAAGAGAAGGAAGAAGAAGAAGGACTGGAGGGGCCAACATCAACCGGGATGGGCAGTGGGCGGAGGCAGAGGCCGACGAGCTTGGATGAGCGACGAACTGCGAGTTGCGACGATCGGTTGACGGCGGAAACGGAGGGGCCCTCTCTTCTCTCCATTCCCTCTTCCCCTCCTGTTTCTCTTCTCCTCTCTTCTTCTCTCTTCTCTCCCTCTTTCTCTTTCTCCCTCTCCCTCTGTCTCAGACCTGCATAAAAAAAAATAAAAAAAAATAAAAAAAAAAAAGAAACTGCCCAAAACAACGTCGTTTTGGGCAGTCGGGGGATTCGGCGGGACAAAATTCGGGAAAAAAAATCATTTTTCTATTTTTATTCGAAGTTGAAGTAAATTTACATTGTTTTAAATTATAATTTTAAAAATATTCAAAATATATATTAATGTTATATCTTCAATTTTAAACTCAAATTTTTAATGAATAAATTTTGTCGATATGTTTTGATGCAGTAATGTTATATCTATTGAATTTGAAATCACTCAAATTACTTGAATTTGTGCATATCAGTCGTCTTGCAAGTCATCTAGTCGGTCATCCGAAAGGATGCCAATTATCTGGGCAGATGTCAGTTGACAAGAATGACAATCACGATTGATAGGGGTGACGTCAGTCATCTGACTTACGTAATTTAAGTGAATTCAAATTCAATGAATCAATCATTTTTTTTATTTTGATGTGATAAAAAGACACGTAAATATAATTGCACAAAAAATATGAGGATTCTTATCCCCAAACATAACCTAAACACATGCAATGTTGGGTGTTTCACAATTTTTAATAACATTTTCACAATGAAGTGAGGATAAAAAGAAGGAAAAAAAAAATTCAATGTAAGTTTTTTTTTTTTTTTTTTAATAATCAAATCAATGATAAAATTTACAAACTGATATAATTATAATTATAATTTTTTTTATGAATCTGTTATTATTTTGAAAGATGTTTGTAATTTTCTTTAAAAATAAAAGATAAACTTGTGGGCATGTTTGTTTGGGTGTAAAAGTAACTTTTTACAAATTTGTATCAATGGTGTGTTGGCATCATCAACTTGTGTGTTAACTTTGTATCTTTTCTTTTGTCAAATTTAAATTTGGTAAAAAGACTTCAGTTTTGGTGTTAAATTAATATCAAATTGAAAATATCTTTAACTTTTTATCAAATTAGGGATGACTAGAGCCTTTCATCAAAATATTGCACATAGCCGTTGCAGATGGAGAGCAGCAACAACATTGGACGACCAGCCGGATGTTCGGCTGGTTGTCCTCCTAGGCGTCCACCTTTCATGTAATTTGCAATAAAAATTTACATTGGCCGGTCAACCGGCCAGATGTTCTCTCGATCGACTAATGATTTGATGAAACTCCATTGAAACGGTCGATATCAGTTCAAGTTTTTTCTCAAATTTAATGAAAAAAGAGAATAAAAATTGGAGATGTTCTAACTTATTCCATTTTGGTTCATTTAGCATTGTTACAAGCAATCATCATTGTTGCTAAGAACACCCATTACCAAATTTAACAGTTGAGCCCCATGTGGGAAAGAAAATTAAAATGTCACTGCATAAAAGAGGAATGTTATATAAATTATTTAATTTTATAAATACTTTTATTAATTGACATTTTACAAGTCATATTATTGGAGTGAGTCATGTTTTAAAATTTTAAATTTTAAATTTTTTTAATATGTGTACAATTTGTTAATTTGTATTACATTTTGCTACTTAAAACCTCTCAATAATTAGATTTGTCGGTTTGGTTATCCAATTTTTAAAATCTGATTTTAAGTTTCAATTCGTATTTATATATATTTAATATTTTGGTCAATTTTTATTTTTTATTTTTTTAAATGTATCTAATTTAAATGTACTCAAAAAGTATAATATTTATGAAGAAATCTATAAAAAAAAAAATTCAATAAATACAAAAAAATCCGAAAATGTACTCTTTATTGAATTTTTTAAAGATTTCTTCATAGATATTTTATTTTTTGAGTACATTTAGATATGCATCTAAAAAATAAAAAATAAAAATTGATCAAAATATTAAAAAATTTACTAAAAATAAAAAAAATATGAATTAAAAATTAAAATTTTAATTTAAAAAATTAAATAACCAAATCATGGTACCTTTGGATGCATGGTGGGTTTTCACCATTCTCTCTCCTCTCTGTATTTTTAATTTAATTTAATTTATTTAGTTATTTAAAGTAAACAGGGAAGAAGGGTTGTGTTTGAATCAAACATTGAGATTGTATTTATGGAAAGAAAAGTTAAAAAAATGAAAAAAAATTAAACTTTTTTTTATTTCATTCTCTCTTTTTTTTTTCTTTTTTAAATTCCTACTCAAAATTGCTCTAAATTTAAGTGGATATAATGAGAATTTTTAATATTTTATTAAAATTGGACTTCTCTTTCAAATTGAACTTTTATGTTTAAACTTGTGGGACCCATAAATTGTAAAATTACCTTTTTGTTCACAAATTTCAACCATTATTGATTTAAATAAATGATCTTCAATTGAACTATATGAATTGAATTAAGAAACTTAGGGAAAGTTGATAATTTACTAATATAAAAAAAGAAATTGGCAATAGTTTAACAGAATAAAAGTGCAATTAAACTCGCTTTATATTTCTCACAAAGCAACAATAAAATTTAAAACGAAGATGGCAGCTTCATATGGTTACTCTTATACATAAGAAAAATATAAAAGAGGGAGGGTGCTGTCACAATACCTCGTTCTGATGTCTTAATTAAGGTTCATTTCAGTTTTATTTTAATAATTCGAACTGTTATATTATAAGATTTGTCGAGTATATAATTCATATAAAAAATAAGATTAATCGGATATGTATAGCCCCATGATTAGACCATAATTGTTTTTTAAAAAAATTATCAAAATTATGTTAAGCATTTATTTATTTTTTAAACATAATTGTTGTCTTGTTATGGGTTATAGATGCGTAATTTACTTTATTTATTTTTTGGATAATTTACTCGATAAATCCTACAATATGAATTATTTAAATTATTAAAATTGATTTAGAAAACGTCTTTACATACTCACAACACGGTGTTATATGTCTATAAAGGCACAACACCCTCTCCAGTTTCTATTAGTAGCCCACCAGTTCCTTAATCCACTGATTGATTTCGCTCTCTTTTCCGAAACAAAACCCTTGGATTCCATTAAAGGGTTCATTTCATGTAAACCCCTTGAAGATCTCACTTGCAAGTTGCAAGAAGTTGACATAACAATGGAGATTTCCAGAGATATTTCTTGGAATACTAATTCTTTGCTTACAAGCAAATCAATTGTATTGGGTCAGTGTAAGTTAAATACTAGTATTAATTAACTTGAGACTAGGGTACATTGTACTCCATTAGGTACAAGTTTTGAGTATATCAATGGATATATAGAGCCACTTGAATGTTGTATATGTGCTTTTACTGTGAATCTATATGGAAAATTGGGTGGTAGCTCGAAAATTTAAGGATCGAATGGCCCGAAATTTGAAAAGGGAGAGAAGTGAGGGAGAGCAGAGAAGAGAGGGAGAGAGGAGGACGTCGTCGCCTCTGCCGACGCCGTCGCCTCGCCGCTCGTTGCCTCGCCGCCTGTGCCTCCGCCGCGAGGAGCTCGTCCAGTCCTTCAGCCTCGCCGCAGCCCCGCCTCCTCCTCCAGCCGATTTTTATGGCCCCCTCCCCTCCCTCTTTCCTCCTCCTCCCGATCTTCTTCTCCACCCTTCTTCTTCTTCTCCCCCCTTCCCTTCTTCTTCTTCTCCTTTTTTCCCCTCCTCCTCTGATTTTCTACTTCTGATAGGAAGACGAAGACCCAAAAAAAAAAAAAAAAAGAGGCAAAACGACGTCGTTTTGCTTTTTCGACCCATTCGACCCACGAATTTTCGAGTTACCAACCGGGGTTGTATATACCAACCGGGTTGATCTATATGCTTCAAAGCTGCATGGCCTTTAGCAGACAAGCTCTCTCTAAAAAGGAGTGAATCTGTTATTTATAATCATATAGTTTTGTTATATTTATTTTTAAAAAATAAATAATCTATTTTTAAAATTGTATTTACTATTTATTTTTTTAAAACAAATATAATAAAATCATGTAATTTTTTAACCTACATTTTAAAATTCGTAAATTTTTTTGTACTCAATTGAATAAACATTTGCACACGCTAAACTAAATAAACAGATATACACATTAAAATTACACAAAAAATAAGCTACTCAAGCTTAGTAAATGTGCATCTTGATACAAAGTATTACATTGCACCTACAACACAACTCAAGGGAGATTTCAAAGGGGCACATCAAAACAGCCAATCAAACTACAAGGAAAACCTACCTGTTTATTCAATCACCCTACCCTAATAAAATTCAGGCTCAACAACAAAGAAAATACGAACAAACAGCAGCAACAAAGATCATTCACAGAATCACAAATTTCTCTCTATGAAGTCCCAAATTCTCTCTTCCATATACATTCGGTCCCGGAGCCGTCGAGGCATGTGACGCTCATCAGGGAAAATTAGCAATTCATAAGGCTTTCCAGCCTCCACAAGTGCATTCACAAGCCTTGAAGTGTGCCTAAAATGCACATTTTCATCAATCATGCCATGGACAAGTAACAACTTCCCTTCGATGTTGTCCACATGGCGCATCACAGAGCTGAACTCGTAACCTTCTCGGTTCTCAGATGGCAAACCCATATATTTCTCGGTGTAAAAAGTGTCATACCCATCCCATGATGTAACAGGGGCACCAGAAACAGCACACCTGAAGATGTCAGGAAACCGGGCTAATGTCATGGCTGAGAGATATCCACCATAGCTCCATCCATACAAACCGATATGGTCAACATTTGCCAGCCCTTGTTTGATGAGCCATTTGGCTCCAGTCAACTGATCCTCGGCATCAATACGGCCAACATTGAGCTTGAGGGAGCCTTCAAACTCAAGGCCGCGCCGAGCACTTCCTCTGTTATCTAACTGTAAAACTCATAGCAGTTAGGTTGATGAACTCTCCCCCCGCCCCTTCTCTTTTTATTAAGTATTGCAATATAGGACATACAGTCTACAGTGCCAGTAGTAAATGGGCATTGGAAAAAAACAAAAAACAAAAAACAAATAGAAGTCCCAAACTTGCAGTCATGCATAATTAGGTTAGGGTTGTGGACAAGCCAAGTAGTAAGTTGTTCTGAAAACTTAACGAGTTTTAAAATGTGTTTAAACTTGACCTGTTTACATAACGAGTCAATCTAGAACAAGCTTTTAACAAGTTGAAGACAAGTTCAACTCAAGTAGTTTGGTTTTTTTAATAATGGATATTAACTTATCCAGCTGAATAGTAGGTTGTTCAAACTTGGTTTAAAAATTTAACAAGCTTCAAAATTTGTTCAACCTTGGCTTGTTTACATAATAAGTCGATCTCAAATATTTTTAATGAGTCAAGCTCTAGTAACAAGTTTTTTATAGTACATATAAGTTTATCGAGTCAAATAGTAGGTTGATCAAACTTGGTTTGAAAACTCAACAAGTTTAAAATGTGTTTGACTTGTTTACATAACAAACTCATCTCGAACAAGCTTTAGCTAGCTGTACACAAGTTGTCCTCGAGAAGCTTGGTTCATTTTACAGCCCCAATTAAGGTGCATTGCATATGGAAGAAAATTAAACTATTAAGTAGAAGATTTAAGGATGGCGACATTTTAAGATAACTGGTTCAGTAGATACTCACCTTCCATATTAAGATGCCTTTGCTCCTGAAATACTGAGCTCTCATGTCAACTGTGTTCATCCAAGAATCAGAAACAAGCTGTACACTTGGACCACCATAAACGCTGATCAAGGTTTTGTATGGTGGAGGTCCAAACTTCGCTACGTCAGGTTTGTATAATGCCCCGTATAAAACAGTTCCATCATTTGCTTGTATTTGAATTATCTCCGGAGGTTCAAGTTGAAGCCTTTTAAATCTTGGAATTGTGAATGGTTGCTCATGAAGATGCATAATTAAATTTCCACCTTGCAAAGAGCAAAGTGAAATTCTAGGTGGAGAATCGAGCGAATCATGAATATCAATGAATCTCTGCATCTGATGATCAAGAACAACCATGTGTCTTCCTTTCCTGTGAGTCAGTCTCTGTGGGGCCCGCAGGGAATCGTTTCCATCTGGGATCAGTTTAGCACAATAAAGGTGAGATTCCAAAGGGCTGTCTAGAGTTCCAGTGAAATATACAAGTCCCGCAGCCTCGTCTATGCCAGCAATTTGCTCAACCATCCAATCACCATCTGTTATCGATCCCAAACAAGCCCCATTCATGTCATGCAGATAAAGATGTCTGAATCCAGTCCTTTCACTAGCCCAAATAAATCCCCCAGAAAATTCAGCAAGTCCTTTGTCTAAAGGACTGAAGCAGTCGTGCAGATTAATCCACGTGTCTTGTTCTTCAACCAATATAACTTTTCTTTGGCCAGTTTTGATATCAAACCTGAGAATCTTTAGTTTAGAATGTGACCTGTTCAAAACCTGAGCGGTTAGAATATTTCCGTGCATCCAATTGACTCTTGCCAAATATTCTTCATCATTATTTGCTCCGCCCTTCTCACCACAGTGAAGATCCATCCAAGTTACCGGACCTCCAGTGGCAGAAACTACCCCGAGACGGACTTTGACATTTGAAGCCCCAACAAATGGGTACGCATGGTCTTCCTGTGCCTCTGGACCGGCTGTATTTTTACCCTGGTGCATGATTCTGAAAAGCGGTATCTCAGATGAATCAACTTCTGTGAACGCTATCAATTTGCTATCTAAAGACCACCAGTAGCCATTTTTCCTATCCATCTCTTCCTACAGTCCATGAAAACCAGTACGAATTTTACATGCAATCTATTGATTAAGGAATTATTTTCTTAGTAATTTTATAATGCTTTTTTTTTTGTTTTCATAGGAAGAATTTTGTTTTGATTCTTCTTCTCGGGAAGATAAGTACCATGTAATAAGATAAACAAAATTAGTAGTAAACTTACAAGGAAGAGTCATAATCTCACCTGAGCTATGTATTCAGCAAGACCATGAGTCTGAAATATAAAAGAAGAAAGTAATGTCATATTCAAGAAGAAAAAAAAATCTTATGTTTGTTTAGCTGTATTTTCGTTTTTGTTTAGCGGCTGCAATAGCTAAAACAAAAATCGAGAAAATAGCTCCTTTTAATTGATGATTATCAAAAAAAATCAGAAAATGTTACAAAACTTATATTAACTGCATTCAATATAAGTTCAAGACACATAAGGGCTCTAACCATATTTTTTCCCATGGAAAATACAACAAATAAATGAATAAACAAAATTGCTTCATTTTCTATTTTAATTTTTGTGTTTTTGGAGAAGGAAAAAAAGTGTCGTTTTCAAAAACATAAAAAACATAAAAAATCCCAGAAACAATTTTCGGAAACAATTTGCCAAATGTTTTTTTTTTATTTTTTATTTTTTTGTATTTTCCAGGAAAACAAAAAAACACAAAAAATGAAAACACAACCAAACAGAGTGCTTATCAGAAGTTCAGAATTATAACTATATATCAAACTCAACAAACACTACAATTATATGGCCATGCCATCAAATGAATCATCATGAGTTACAAATATATTAACAACTTCCACGAAATTAGAAGCACTCTCTTGCTTTAATTAGTGATGTAACTTTAGCATACCAGGGTCATGTGATACAGTAGCTAAAACATCTCATTCAACAAGAAACTGACTCAAATAAAATGCTCAGACCTTGAGTCAACATATGGAAAAAAAAAAAATTTATAAAAAAAAAAATATTTCCTGACGACCATCTTGCTCAATATGGAGTTTCTTTATGCACCCATGAAGCTTTATTTCCACATGCAAATCAAAAGGTGTTCATAGACACAGGTTGGTTCAAAATCCAAGTTGGTGGTTCCGTCCAAACTCTTAATCACCATTAATCACTCTGTTCCAACTCCTGCGATTAATGGAATCTCCACCAAGCCAGGATTTATTTTTTCTTTGAGTGAGAACAAAAATGGAATCTAATCAACTTTGTTTCCTAAAATCGGGTAATTGGCAACTCTTTGGATTTGTTTACCAGGTCTTTTATGTTAAAGTGAAGAAGTGTCAAAATGATATTTTAAGTCTTTTCATTAAAAAAAAGAAAAAGAAAAATTTCATTTACTTCTTTTTTGTTATTGCTCGTGTAACAGAAACTTGGAAATATCATAAAGATGCATAGTGGCTGAAAAGAGAACCTATATATTGAAAAAATAGGATGAGTGGCCGATATGATCAGTGAAAGAGCTCAAAGGCACAAAAAGAAAGGAAAAAAAGGGAATTGAAAAGCAAAACAATCAGAGACCCATACATGAACATATTGTTATCATAGGGAAAAGAACCCAATCAAGCAAAGAAACTGGGAAAACTAAAGCTCACCAAACCATTTCCGTCAGCGCCAAATGTTAATTGCTTTGACTCATTGTTCAAGAGGTTTAACACATGCAACTCATAATCCCTCACAGAAGCAAGCATAGTACCATCTGGTGAAACGTGTGGATCAATAATTGGAGAGGATGATGTACTTGGCAGCTTAAGCTCCGGTTGTAAAGAAAGATCTTGAAAATAAACCTGTTCACAGATACAAAAATAGGTTCATAAAAGAATAAACTCAAAATAGCGGACAAACTAAAACAGAAAATTTCTCCAAATCCCAGAAAAATTTGATAGATATAGAGGGAAGTCCAGGATAATAATAAGAACATATAATTTAGTAAGCAACAAGAACTACTTGCATTGGCCATAGAACTATTTTACTTATGAAGGATAGAAATGTTTGCGAGGTTGTGGCATGGTACCGTCGCAAGTGCTCATCCACTCAAGCACTATGGCGCAGGTCTAAGTCAAAGGAATCAACCTCTTTTGCCCAAAAAAAAAATGAGTGGTAAGGCTGCTAACCTACTACCTTTCCCATAGAATTGTTCAAACAAAACAAAAGAAACAAGAAAATAAGTTTTGATGCTAAGCAAATTTCCATGCTCAAAAGGGCTAAACAATCTACCTAAGGTTGTCTCTAGATTAATAAATTTAAATTTAATATATTTGGATTTCATCATTAGGGACAACAACTTAAATTTAAATTTCACAAGATCCATGTACAGATTTGAGAGCTGTATTTTGCTGGATTTGAAAAGATAAGGTAATGGAGTTATAACTTCTCTAGCCATCCTCCTAGATGATAGTGAATCTGAGCCAAACCCGAATCCACTTATTTCAAATCCATCAACACAAAAAGAAACCTCATTGTCTTCATAACAACCACAGTGCAAACATGTTATTGAGCTCAGTAGACAACAATAAAATACAAATTGAGAACCCAAATGTTATCAGTGATGACAACAATTTTGTTGTTGGCCGACTTAAACCCATATACATGATTCAGTAATGACAAACTGATGTGAATGAACGATGAACAACACACATCAAAGGGGAAAATAATATTAAAATGGGATTACAACATCAAGGGAAGCAAATGTCACTTAAAAGACTTTTCCTAGAGATGCCATGGTAATTCCCATTAACAAATACATTCGTGTATCATAGAGCTGTGCGACTATCATCAAGGTGAAGTCAAGTCCGTTGAATAATATACCCATGTACTCCTTAATAATGCAAAGCAGTTTCAAGAAAAAAAAAGCTCAAAAGAAAATCCAAAAATTCAACGATGGAATAATGATATTTCAGTATAATAACGATGCTAAAACTGTCTTCAGCAACATGGAATCCAATCCCTGTACTTAGAATTTAAAATCTTGAACTAACATGACTTCTAAATCCAATTCCAAGGCTTAGATTCCATGCTGCCAAACACACTAAAAGTGACAAATTAACATCAGAGATAAAGAAACAAACCCCAGCAGGAGAAGGCACCATGATTGTCTTCTTCTTCAAGCTTGTCTTCACCCATTCATACCTCGTCACACCCAACCCACGTTCCCTTGACCTCTCCCTTCTCAACTTCTCTTCGGCCGATATATTACTCTCATCAAGCCCACCATCTGGAGGACCAAAAACCAATTCTTGCTTACATGTTTCGAGATCAAATGTGAACACCTTCCTGTTCAAACTGTTATCAGAACTAAACAAATAGGTTATCAAACTGTCATCAGGACTGAAACTGATGGAAGTTGGTGCACCATAACCAGGCAACGGATATTGCACTATCTCTTCAACAGGAAAAATAATGCAATCGTCAAGAGAATTCAAAATTGTGGTGTCAGTTACTGGCATCTCGCAATCGAATGATCTTGAATGCTTCAAGTTCTTCCTTTTCTTTGTCTTAGCAGATTGCATTACAAATAAGTAACCAAAATTGAATAATTTAGGCACAAACCTGTTTGTGCCAAGTTGCTAACAAAACATGAATCTGTCAAAACGAGGAACTTAATTAATAAAATGTGACCGAAATCAACAGCACCACCAAAGTAGAAATAATCAAAGAGGCTCTGTTTGGCAGCTAAGAAAACGTGTAATTAACCAAAAATTGGAGCTTCAGGAATTCATGAAACTAACACTAGTGTTTGACTTCAAGTTCTTCCTTTTCTTTGTCTTAGTAGATTGCATTACAAATAAGTGACCAAAATTAAATAATTTAGGCACCAACAAAAACATGAATCTGTGAAAAATGTGGAACTCAATTAATCAAATATGACCAATACCAGCAAGACCACCAAAGTAGAACTAATCATAGAGCCTCTGTTTGGTAGCAAAGAAACCGTTTTAACTAACCAAACATTGGGTCTTTATGAGTTAAATGAACCTACTACTACTACTTCTACTACTGTTTAACCAAAACCAACAAGATCACCAAGTAGACCTAATCAAAGAGCCTCTGTTTGGCAGCTAGGAAAAATCTTAACTAAGCGAAAAATTAGAGCTTTATAAATTAACTAAGCCTAATACTAGTGTTTGACTTTGGTTTTGGTACTCAGATGCTTTCTATTTACATTTGGAAGGCCAAGGCTATACAAACAAAGAATTCAAAATTTTATATTCATCAATTTTCCTTATGTTTAAGCAGAGTAAAAATAGAAACAGGATCGAGATTATAACACATTACCCACTAATAAACTACAAAGATAAGATAAGTTGAAGAAAAACACAACCCTGATGGGAATTCTCTCTCTATCTCTATCTCTATATCTTACCCGAAAAAGAGGTGTTTTTTTTTTTGATCGGCTATGAAAGCGAAAAGAGATCGGAATTTGAGATTCCTGGGATTGGGAAAATGAATCTTTCTCTTTTCTTTTCTTTTTTTGGGTCAGTTTTTGTGGAGAATGAGACTTTGGTCTGGAAATGGAATCGAGAATGATGAGTGGGTTTTTGATTCTCTCCTCCGACTTTTGAGAATTTAAAAAAAATTAGGGAAGAAAATAGGTCGAATGAAAAATAAAAAGAGAAATGAGAATTGAATTGTTCAATTTAAAAAACAAGGGCCAATTACATATATCTTCCTTGAGGTTTGACTAAATTACAGGTATTCTTGAGGTTTCAGAAATTACATCTCGCCCCTTAAAGTTTGTATTTTCATAACAATTTGTCCCCTGAGATTTAAATTTCATAACAAATTATCCCTAATTTGTTATGTAAATATAGCATTCAGGGAGAATTTGTAATTTCTCAAACCTCAAGGGATATTTGTAATTTAGCCAAATCTTAAGGGATATATGTAATTTGCCCTTTAAACATCGATAATTTTTTTTTTTTTTTGGTAAACGATAAATTTTTTTAATTCGACTGTCACGCACGTGTAAAATTCACCGGTATGTTTGTAATAGTTGCCAATCACAAATGATAAGACTCTTCTCTTTCACTAATATCACACAACAATTAAGTTTTTATGACAATTATATTTCAAAATCATCAAATAACTTTTCATTATTCAAGTATGTTTGTAATGGTTGCTAATCACCCATTACAAAATTATAAAACTTGTCTCTTTCACCAAAATCACACAACAATTAAGGCTTTACGGCAATCAAATTTCAAAAACATCAAATAACTTCTCATCATTATTCAGTGGTTTGAGGCATTGGGCATAGTGGGATTGTAGGAAACAGCATTGTTTGTTACATATTTTAGAAGATAACTATAATTTTTTTAATTTTTAATTTAAAAGTATGTATTAAATTATTTGATGTTATTTTTATTTCTAATTTATTAAATAAAAATAATTTAAATAAATTTTTAAAAACTAATTATTTAAAAAATAAAAAATAAATATTTTTAATTTTTACTTCCAGATTATAAAATTCTAATTTTAAAAAACTCTACCAAAGCCATTGTTTGGTGATTGTTGAGACGCCAAAGAATGTTCTTTGCAAAGTAGGTCCGTACGTTGGGCAACTTTTTATTTTTAAGACATAGGTACTGTTAGGTAGAGCTGTGGAAAAGTGCTTATAGCTTATGCCTAAACAGTTTATAACTTATAACTTTCAGCTTAAGCTGATTTTCAGCTTATTCTTAAAGCATCTCCTGCCCCACTCAAAGAATAAGCTGTTTTCTGACTTTCACAAAGCTATAAGCTAAACCAAACACATCAAAATAGCTTAAATTAAGCTGAAAGCTGAAATAAGCTGAAATTAAGCTGTACCAAACAGGGCCATACATTGAGAAACTTTTTATGATTGCATTTTTGGCTCCGTGGAAAAATTATTGTGTGTCATGTGGCAACAAGGGTAGGGCCAGTACAAAACTGATTTGTAAGCATGTCCTGAATATTTTGGTAGCGTTTGGTAGAATTATAGACGTGTGATTTGAGAATAAAATTATATTTTGAGTTTGTAAATTTTAGAATTATGATTTGAACGTAGAAAATTTGTTCGGTTATGAGTTTTAAATTGAGTGTTGAATTGAGTTTTGAATGTTTGGTGTGATATGTGAAATAAAAAAATTTATTTGATTATGAGTTTTGAAAATTCAAAAAGTTATAACTCTTTTTAACATTCAAATAAAAAAAAAAAATATGTCATTTTGGTATATAAAAAATAAATTTTATATTTAAAAAATATCAAAAATAAATATAATATATATTTTTTTTTCCAAATAACAGGTGGCGATTGACAATTGGCAATTGGCAATTGTAACAAAAAAAAGTTTACATTGTTCCGGTCAACCGGACGGACGTTCAGGAGAATGACCGGGTAGATTCAAAATTCAAAAATTCTCTGCTTTTCAGAATGGAGAACACGAGAGAGAGAGAGAGAGAGAGAGAGAGTAGTCAAACGTGAAGAAGAATTACATTTTGAAATGTGTGGTGGAATCACAATTTGAAAACTCCATCCAAACATGAAATGTAAATGGAGGGATGAAATTATATTTACAGAATATAACCAAACACAACCTTCTTTTTTTTTTTCTTTTTTTAAATGAAAAATTTGGTCAAAATCCTTTCATAATAAAAAATTTAATATATTAAGAATAAGTACCACAAAAAAAAAATCTTGAAAAGTCTAACAGATACCACTATTACCAAAATATTAAATTTTAAAATAACTTTTGATCTAGATATTACTTTTTAATAAAATTAATATTTTTAGAATCATCTCATCAAGATCTATATGATTTATATTGATTATGAAATTCTTTAAAAAAAATATTATTATCAAAATTGATATAAACAGTAATATATTATTCTATCTCGCAGTAACATGCTACTTTGTTTGATAGTAACATGTTATACTAGTAATATTGTCCAAGAAAAAAAAGACAATACTTTACTTTGTCCTTACTCAATTATGCGCCTCCTCCTTAAGAGATTTATGAAGTGAAATAAATTAGGTTGTCTTTTTTACCAAATAAGAGTCTAATGGAAAGATTTTCACTAAATTTTCCTTTTTAAATGACAAATTGGGTTAGGTTATTTTTATTAATACTCCAAAAACTCAGAAAGGGTTGTTTATGGATCATAAGCGGATAGTTGAGTCTATTTTTAAAAATTTTATTTTGTTTTTTCAATTCTTTTTTCACTTTTTTTATGTCAAATTATCAAATGAAATCAAGTTTCAACACTTGTGCCGATCTCACCTCCAAGTCTTACTAAAGCTAGCCCAATCAAGCTTGAGTCCGACAAATTTAGGCCTAGTCACAAGCAAATATATGCCTAGTTACTTTATGTATCAATTTCAATTAAAAAAAAATTGATTTGTGTGTTTAGCATTGCCTTGCCACAATACATCTTAAAGCTACATAATCAAATAAATCTCACATAATTGTGTGACTCGTGATTGTATGACTCCTGAGTGTGTTGAAATAATGTCTTACAGAGTATAGAAATTTTTTTTCCTTTTTTTTACAGTGGATGGAATCCAACATACCCCATAATAATTTTCATACTATTATTAGGCTCAAGACATTGATTTTTAATACTGTGATATTTCAAAGTAAAACATTTGACAAGACACTTTTAAAAATCATCACTAATGATTTATTATACCTCTTGTTTAATTGGAAAATGTCAAAATGCAATGATATTTACTTGGCTATTCTAAGGGTGCGTTTGTTTGGACGGACTGGATAAGAAGGGATTGTAATCCATCGGACTATTAGTCCTGAGATACATTGTTCTAGGACTATTTGGTTGGACTAAATTTGTATCATATATTTGTTTAGTCATGGGATTTGATGTCTGAATTGGACTATTTTTAGTTATCCAATATTTGTTTGGGATATTATGGAGAAGGATAAATGCTCAAATGACTATTTTATCATTTTCAATTATTTACTAAGTAATAGCAATATTAAACATAGCTTTAATTTTTTAATTATTTTTAACTAGATTATAAAAATTTGTTTTATTTTATTTTTTGCACAATATTTTAATTTATTATTTTCAATTAAATTAAATTTATAATTTATAATTTAAATTTTTTATTTAATATATAATTTTAAATTAACAACACTAAAAAAATAATTTATAAATGTTCAAAAGATTATTTTATCATTTTCTAATTATTTGCTAAGTAATAGCATAGAGGGTAAAATGAACATTTCACAAAATAATCTCATGGGATACCAATCCCATGGTTTCTATCCCACCATTCCCATGGGATAAGATACTCCCATATTTGTGGGACTAATAGTCCAGAGGGACTATTAGTCCGGAGCAAAAAAAATGAAACAAACAATGGATTATTAGTCCGGTGGGACTAATAGTCCAATCTCACCTCCTAATCCTTCAAAACAAACACACCCTAGTGTTTGGGAAATGGGTTAAAAGCCACTTTCTAACTTTTAACCCACTTCTCTCTCTCTCTCTCTCTCTCTCAAAAAAAAAAAAAAAAAAAAAAAAAAAAAAACTTTTAACCATCTTCCCAAAACACCTCTTACAAATAATATTTTTATTTGACATTTTATAAAAAGATAAAAAATATACTTTCACTAACATTATCATTTCACACAGTTGCCTTTTAGTTAGGGCTAGTTTGGCAAGTTTAGAAAAAGTCAAAAAATTATTAAAAAAATTAAAAAGTTATCACTATTCACAAAAAAAAAATAAAAAAATTAATATACAAATATTAATACAAATCAATTTTTTACCCATCAACTGTACTGATGTCTAACCCACGGCAAACAATCAAAGAAAAAAAAAATTACGCGTATACATTCACTAAGTTGAATGGTAAAGTTGGATCCGTGAGAGCCCACCATCGGTTCCGTTTTGACAATCTGAACCATCAATATATGGAACTCGTCTAGTATTATATGCCTGTAAAAAATCACGTCTATCGGATATCCTTAACTACATGATCAAATCTGTTCTGTAAAAAAAAATTGGATGGTGTTATAGTTAACAATTAACAAAAAAAACTAACACGATCAGATAGCTATCGATATTCAATCAACGTGATTTTTTATAAATATATAGTACTCGACGAGTTCTACACATTTAACGGTTCCGATTAGAAAAACGGGACCCGCGGTGAGCCCCACAGGCCGAACAACACAGTCCAATCAAAAGCCGAAAGAGGCAATCTTTTCCATGTATTCACCACACCCACTGCCCTGCAATCCGTACAGCGTACCACCTATCTTCTCCTACACACTTCTTTGTACAATTTTTTAATACATATTTTTTCATAAAAAGTCAAAAAATTAACTCAAACATCCATATTTTTTTCCTCAACTTTTTAGTCTAAAAAGACGAAAAATACACTTATTTAGGACACCCTAAACAACCCCTTAATTTTAGTTCTATCAGTAGTTCCAACAATAGAAGAGCCACAGTAAAAAATGGTGAAAACACAATGAGCTGATTTGGTAAGCATGATATATAAACCAGATGACTAGTCAATTGTTTTGCATCGCACTTCACTACGTCCTTCATAACAGAATTCTCATCAGAATTTGTTTAAGTGCGAACTAATAACAAACAGATCACATCGATTGTAAATAAAACCAACAAATTGTGAAAAATACTGGCACGTGCTGGCAGGAGGGAAGAAACAGAGGATCAATGTGAGGAAACACAATGAATTAAAAGAAGAGCTATGCTCTTTAGCAACATTATATACATGCCAAGCACTTCCCAGTACATAACACAACAGAAGTTGGCACACTTACAACACCACAGAGAGACGGATCGATACAAACACACGAATCAATCATGAAAAATGATTCCAAGACCACCTGCCTCAGCTGCTGAGGTTAGGTATGCACACTCCAGCATCTGGGTTCTGTTGTTCCTTCCATATCCTCCCTGTAACTCTCAGCTTCAGCTCTTTCCGGTCCCCACCAGAGAAGAAAAGTGCCATGTTTCGCTGTATAATGAGACCGTCATGGCTGTCCCTAACCTTCCGGTGGCTATCCCGGACGCTCCGTGGGGTACCTTCCCATATGAGCTTCCTTCCATTCGCTCCAACCTCTAGACTGTAGCTGTAAATGCGTGCTTCAGTCTCATCACCCATAAAACGGAGGAATGCCATGTACACAGGAGCCATGCCAAGCTGGAATGCTTCAAAGTGGAGGCAAAAATATTGACCGAAACAATGGAAAACCTAACACAAGTAGGAGAGAGCAAGTGATATTCAGATAAGCATCTATACTATATATACTACTATATAAAGCACAGAAAAATAACTTTGACAAATAATTTTGATTCCCAAAAAAAGCCACAGCAATACTATACTTTCCCAAAACATTTATATTTGTAAGGACCGGATAAAAAAAAAATAAAAAAATAATCATTAAACCAATTACTGCTATCTACTACACAACGATTTCTTGCACACATTAGGCAATATAAATATTAGTGTGCCTACAATTACTTGCAAAAGTTAGGCAATATAGATGTTAGTGTGCCTACTATCTCTCTCTCTCACCCACAATTTCTTGCACACGGTAGTGTGCCTACTTTTCTAGTATTAATATAAGCACAAATGCCAACAGTAAAAATTGGACAGCAAATGCAATTATACTATAGCATTTGAAGACACATAGGTTGAAATCAATGTGAGAGAATGCATGTGAGAGAGACAGACAGATGCTCATTACCAAGGATGATAGCGAAATTTTTTAATTAACATCATGTATTGAAAATCTGAAAATAAAAAATCTGATGGATGCTGTCAATTACTAATAAGCAGACACATCATTAACACCATGGAGACAAACTATCCTCAATTGTCCGCTAAACAGTAAAAATACAGCACAACCACAAAAATGAGACACTAGATACAGTTAGGCTGTAAATTACAAAGCCTTGCTGGAAGGTCTGGTTTGATCCTTGGAAATGGAATGTATAGTTGAAAAAGGTTCGTCATTTAATTTCTACAACCATTCTCGGATTTGAGATCTAAAGGCAACAATATACTTACTGTTAGCATCCAAGTGGCATTTTCTACTTCACGAGGATTAGACTTTACATATCGATGATTGAATGTGCATCCAGTGTGCATATCCACCTTGTGATCATCTCTCAGATGCGCAACCAAAAAAGGAATATCCCCTGTAACAGAACACTCTGAACCGGCGTATGGGCAGTTGTATGGTCTGAAGTTGCACACTGACTCGTGCTTGAGTTTGCTGTAATATGGAAATATCTCTGGGCATCCCAAAGAATAATACTTGCATGGAAGTTCAAGTGATTCTGCTACTTTTTCCAGTGCTAGGCACCTAATATCGCCAAGTTCTTGCCTACAAGTTGGGCACCGGTTATGCACTCTTGTTTTACAGGTAGAACACAGAGTATGCCCATTATGACACTGCAAAGAAACAAATTTGTCACAAAATAGCTGCTGAAAATCTATGCTTTAGAAGCAACAAATTATGAAAACTAGAAAACTTTATTTTTGCTCTTTTCTGGTCCATACTAGCCATAATTAACATCGTGTTCCCCAACCAATAACTTAATTTCCACATTCCAGACAGACATTTTATTTGGTACAAACCATACTGACTTTAAACAAAGACACAGAAACAGAGAAAGAATGTGATTTTACAAAGATGTCAAGGCATGAGAAAACAAGGAATTAGCCACATAATTTTTTGCACAAGAAATGAAATATTGCAGGTGCATAGATCGACATAATAATATACTCATGGGGCCCTGGACTGCAATAAACTGTTGGAGCACTTGATATACATTGATATAAAAAGCTCGACAAAATCCAAAAATTGGTCAAGAGATGGGTCAACAACACAAAACTTACAAGAGAATTCTTGAACCTACCCCATATAATCCACATAAGGCATATGGGGATCAATCACCATTTACAACAAACAATTAATTTAAAATCTTTCAAAAACAAAAACTTGTTGCAGTAGCTAGTTAAAAAGTTTCAACCCAACAATGAAAATAGATAACATCAGTCAAATATTAACAGCCAATGACAAACACAGGTAGATTCAACCAAACCCCCTCCCTTTTTCCCATGGGACAAACACTAAAAGGCACGAAACTTCAAACACTAAAAGGCCTAGAACTTCAACTTTGCAAGACTAGGGAAAATTTTTAAAAGATGTTATTGAGGCTTGCCAAAACGCATCAAAACTTTATGTACACATGTGGATAGCTTCTCTTGGGCTGATGTTAAACTTAGTCTAATACATGGTTCAAACATTTTGAAAAAAAAAAAAAAAACTTCTATAACTATTTTCCGTGGAAAAATTTAAGTAAATGCCCAACCAAGAAAGAACACAAAACTAAGACCCAAGTGAGAAGCTAGATAACTGACACTAAGAATGCCGATTTCAACTTCGATGAGAGAAAGCTTCCTTCTCTGTAGTGAAATGTTCAATGCCTCGAACAAAAAAATATTTACACATTTATATTTAATATTTTTTACCATTTTAAAATATTTTATTTATTAACTAATAAATATAAAAATTCAAAATTCTTACAGCTTGACACCTTTAAGGCTCACAACCTGCCCCATGAGGGCTAAAACATATCACGTCATGAATTCACCTTTAAAAGCTTTGGACTAGGAAAATCATTCATGATTCTCCTACCGGGTAAGGCACGGGCAAGGGCCAATGCAGAAGGAACCATGGCAGTACGACAAATATTCTAAGCATTTCTATATTCATCAAGCTTAAGAAGTGGAACATCATGGAGAAGCTCGAAATTTATTACTACTTACTAGAATTAGGATTAGTACAAGCTGCTAACTCTTCTAGAGATTTGAAATCAAGTTGCATGATTGAAAAAGAGGGCCTTTCATTCTACCATGCCAGGTACTACCATCTGAAGAGTTACTTCATTTATCTTATATTTTTCTTTTCTTTTTTCACAATGAACAACAGTTGATTTTCTAGCCGGTAGGGATCCCTCCTTTTCCATGATGAACTGTTTACCATCAAGAGGCATATAAAGGGGACAAAACCTCCTTAGAGTGATATTAAACCTCCAAGTTTGACTAATTCAATAGTTGATTTTCTAACCAATAGGGAAGCCTCAATGAGTTTTTAACAGCATTTAGCAAGCCTACTTTAGTGCTTTTCTCATAGTTGTGTTTAGTTTTCTAATTTCTTTTCTTCTCTTTTTTCCCCCTTTCCACTCAATCACTAATCAATTTTGGAGAAACCTGCACCTCAGCCTCCAAAAATATTGGAACATAATGTTGGGTTTCCTTCCAACATATTTGCCCAATATTTTCAATTTTTGTCTTGTCAAGCTGCATCAGATTAGAGTTATAGGTGGGGCATCTAGTGCCAAACATTCTGATGCATTCATCCTAATAAGATCCACAACTAGTAACACAATGCTGCCTCAAAATACCAAACACAAACAACCAAGCAAAATCCAATCAATAAAAAAGATCCCTAAAATCATGAATCCATGACAACCCATTTCCCAATTCCACCCTTATAATCATCAAATTCAACCAAAACCTAATCTTGCACCACCAAATCCATCAACAATCAATTCAAATTCCTACCCCAAAACCATCATACTCACAAAAAAAAGAAAAGAAAAAGAAATAATACATAGAACAGACCAATGAGAGGGGAAACAGACCTGATGGATTGGTGGGTACATAGAATTGGTACAAACAGGACATTCGAGCAATTCGTGGACGCTGGTGGCAGGAGCGATTCCAAGATTGCTGAGAGGCTTTGAAGAAAACTGATGGTTGTGAAGATGATGATGATGGTGAGATCGAATCTCTTCATCTTCCACGCCATCCGAAGACGATATGCATTCAATGTTATCTAAATCCATCATTCTCCAACACCCACTTCGAAAAAGATTATAAATTTCAAATTTTAAAATTCAAAATTCAAATCTCAAAAAGTTTGATTCGACGGGTTTATTTCGTTTTCCTTTGTTTTGTTTTCATTTCTTGTATTCACGAGGGGTTCGATTGGAGAAAGAAAAAAACAGAACCGACTGAATGTGGGGGGAAACATTTGGGAGAGAGAGATCGACGGATCGATTCCGAAAATCCACACCAAACAAACAACACTTTCCCGGAAAAAGTGGTTCGTTTCTTCTAACTACTCTCTATCTCGCTGTCACTTTCTCTCTCTTCCGAATTTCAGTGAGGAGAGCGACAGAGAGAGAGAGACTGATGGCCGTCGAATTTTTTTTTAAGTGATAGAGGATATGTAATTTCGGAAGATAGAGGGGTTGCAGTGTAAGTTTAATAGAATGCAAGAGGTGTAAATGTAATTTACGCTTACCCCATATTAATGGGAAAATTACTAATCAGTGTTGTTTCAAAATTTTATTAGAAAAAGTTTATGTTTTTAAATATGTATATATAAAATTTATTATTTATTTGTAATTATTTATCAAAATTATTCTTACAATAATTTATTTTTTTTCTATATTAATTCATAGGCGAGTAGTTAGGAAAAATGTTATAAGTTCTAAATTTTCTATCAAACAAAGTGGACCTCACACCTATATGAGACATTTAGTCATTTATTTGGTAGAAAATTTAATATCCCTAACATTACTCGGTAGGTAGTTAGGGTTGACAGTACAAGTAAAATCATTAATGTCGTTCTTGAAGTTAGTTCTTGAAGTTACTTAGCGCATCTCTAACTTTTTGTTAATTTTTTAAAATTAATTTAATTTCAAATTTGAATATCAAGTTTGATTTGATATGGATTATTTAAATTCTTTTATTAAATTTTGAAAAATGCTAGGATCTCACCTTATGGATCTCTAATTTATCTTGAATGTGTTTGTGTGGTGGAATTGAATTAATGAAGTATAGAGTCCACATATGAAATGAATATGAGTTATAGATTTATTTTTCTGGATAAATTCTGAGTTGATAAGAGTGAGTTTGTAGTATTGTTGAAATAAAAAAATAAATAATTACCAATGTTTCTTCTTTTCAAATTAGGTGAAAAGTATGTTTAAATCCTCTAGAGTAAGAGTTCTTAGAGCAGTGCCTTAGAACCAAAACGATGTCATTTTGGTTTGTGTATATATATATATATATATATAAGTGAAGAAGAACCAAGGAACAAAAAAATAGAGAGGGCACGCTTTGAAAGGATAATAACAGAAGAGACGAAGGCATGCCCCGAGAGACCCGGCAAAGAAGCAAGCTTCCAATCTTTAACCAGGTTTGGCAATTAAAAAAGACTAGTATATTAAAAAAGTTAATGTTAAAAAAATACATATTAAAATCTCAAAAATATTTTTGAAAATTCAAAATCAAACAAAATGATTTTTCCCACCATACAATAGTTAGACCTCACACCATAAAAAAATGATACATAACTACTAGGCCAAATGTAAGTAAGAGACATCTCACATCATAAAAAAATGTTACACAATCACTAAGCCAAATGCAAGTACGAGAGATCTCACACCATAAAATGTGTTACACAACCACTAGACCAAATGCTAAGAATAAACTCAAAAAATAATATTTAATGGGAGAATTGCATTCAAATTGTACAAAGTCAAAATAATTATAAAGAGATCGAAATATAACCCTTAGTTGTACAATCTAATACATAAATTACTTGTACTTCCACGATATTGCAATTATTTTTGTATTAATATCATTTTTTTATATACAATTCTCCCATATTTAATCTTAATTAATTGAGCTCTAAATCAATATTACCTTTGCTTTCCGAAAGTGATTTTACAAACATATAGCTTTTTTGGCATCTCCTAAATAATAAGTGCATTTATTTGGGTCACATCACCTCTCTACTTTTCTACATATCTTTTTATGACTTTTCTACACATTTTTTGTAAAAAATAAAAAAGTACACTTATTTAGATCATCTCAAAAGAAAATGCTAAAGACCTCAAATATTTTATCAATATTTCTATCAAATGTCTCACAAAGATGTGAGACCTACACCATGTGAGTCTCACACCTATGTGAGGCATTTGATAAAAATATTGGTAAAATATTAGGGATACCTAACACTACATCATCTCAAATAATCCCAAAGTGCACATAGAATGATGTAGTTGCATATTTGTAATTAAAGGTTTAATAGTGAGTGTTTTAACTAAAAATTAAATGATCCGTATGAAATTTATTTATAGAAATTCAAGCACTTCAAGTAAATGAAATAGTTAGGACTGTTAGTGAAGGCACCGTCAGAGAGTGCACGATGCGGGAGTATGACGCTCATTGGTCTAGAACTACTGATAAAAGCACCATGAAATATATTGACGTTGTTGAAGAGATCGTGCAGTATGAGACTACAAAGATAGTCGGCACAATTTAAGACTAGAAAAAGGAAAAGATGGTTATGAAAATGTGTTCGTGGACTGAAAAAGTTTGACTATATAGTAAGTTAAAGAACGAAGAAGAATTATCAAAGCAAATTGGAGAGCTCAGGATCTACATGTACATGAATAAAGATTAGTAGATAGAGAGTCAGTGTTGATAGGGAGTGTTGGGATTCAACATAGACTCTTGGGAGTCTTCCACCAGAATCTAGAAGACTCCATAAAGTTTTACAGAAATTTAAAAGATTCTAGAATATCCTAAAATAATTCGGATTATTGAAGAAATTTGAATAAATCTAGACAAATTTAAACAGTTGTGGAAGGTTATAGAGTATTCTAAAAAAGTAAAGAAAACTTCACTATGTATTAAAATAATTTAGAGAATTCTAGAATATAATAAAAGGGTAAAAAGATCTTAGAATATTCTTATAAGACTAATGATGGTCTTTGGATCAAGTTGATCATAGCCATCTATTAAGGAAGTGAAAGACTATATAAAGGAAAGACCCTCATTTTAATTAGCATAAAAATAAGATTGTTGTAGTAGAGTGAGAGACTATATAAAAGGAAGACCTTCATTTTAATTAACATAGAAATAAGATAAAAGTGTCATAACTATATAAAGGGAAGACCTTCATTTTAATTAACATAGAAATAAGATGAAAGTGTCGTAGAAGTAGAAATAGGGTAGTGTTGTAGTAGAAGTAGGGTGGTGTGGTAGGAAACCCAAGTAGTGTTTGTAATGAAATCAAAATGATACTATTCACCGAATGAAAATCTCTCAGTTTAAGAAAGAAAATCTATATCAGTTTTATCTATATATACTAATCTAATAGAAATATCTATCTATTACAATCTGTATCATTTTAAGAATGAAAATCTATCTAAGATGAGTTTATCTATATATACTAATCTAACATAAATATCTATCTATTACAAGAGTTTTACTAACCTACACTAATTTATGCCTTTGTTATCATATACTAATCTATACCTAACCTACACATATCTATACACCTACCATCTAATCTATACCTAACCTACACATATCTATACACTACAGGAAAATTGAGTTATAGGACTAATAACTTACATGTTTCTAATTTTCAATTCTCATGTTTTTAATTTTTAATTCTCTGTTAGTCGATATTTAATTTTTTTAACTTCTTAAAAATAGGTTGAAGAGCTTTTAGCTATTAAAAACGTTATATTGTCAAGTGAGATTAAAACTTTTGCATTGGGACCTAGTAAAAAGGCCACGAGATTCAATGGGTATATAATTAATAGAAAGACTTGTAGCTATGCAAATACTAGAGACATGAATCCTGTGGAAGGTAAAGTAGCATACTATGGATGTGTGACAAATATTATTGAATTGTATTATTCATACGACTATAGATATGTGTTATTCATGTGCGACTAGATTGACAACAACAAAGGATTGAAGTAGGATGGTTTTGGTTTCACAATTGTTAATTTCAATCATTTGTTATATACAAAAAAACAAAATAGCGATAAGTCATTCATCCTAGCATCTCAGGCACAACAAGTCTTCTATGTTAATGATCTGTTGGAGCTGATTGGGATGTTGTAGTCAAGATGAAACCTAGAGACTTGTATGAGATGTGTGGAGAACAATCAACTAATGATGGAGTACATCACAATGAAGTGGAAGGATTTGGCGACCAAGAGTTAAATGCAACTTCGTTTGGCTTGTAAAGAGGAAATAAATTGGGTTAGACAAGGTGAATTTGGAACAACTATTGGTGAAACTATTGAACCTCTTGGGATATCGACACAGACACAATCTGAAGATGATGAAGAAATGATATGATATTGTAATTTTGTGTCATATCACTGTTACATTTGTGCTTTTAGTATGGATATTAATGTCAATGAAACCTTTGCTTTTATAATGCGTCATTTGTTTTCTTTGTTAATAAAATCTTTGTTTTTGTATTCATTATTGTATCTATTGTACTTTATATTCATTGCTAACTTATAAAATTCTACACTTATGCTTGTGGTCTTCTATAAATTAGCATGACAGATTGGTGATGCTCTAGGCTGTGGCTCCCTCTAAATAAACCCATATATCATACATTCTTGACATGATTAGACATAAGAGAATAAAGTATTATTTCATTCATCAGAGTATTCATTACAAAAATATTACATGTTGATATCAAAAGTAAATGCCCTACGGGCTTACAACTTTCCAAGCCAACATTTGGTTACAAAAAAAAAAGAGTACTAACTCTAAACACAAAATAAGCCCTTGGCTTGATTTACATATAATACGCAATTAATCACAAAAAGGAAGCCTTCAACTCCCACAACCTCCCAAGTTACATCATTGGAGGCGGCATATCACCTGTACCTGAAAATGATGTCTCATATAGGGTGAGCCAACGCCCAGTAGAGATATGCTAAACATGGTATGAGCAATAACTAAAACATTAGCATTAGATCAATGTTTAACTCATATAAACAGACTCATAATACATTTCAGATCCATGACAACGATGTCCATGTTTCATTCCATTTTTCCTTCACTTATCAAATTTACAGTTTATGAACATGGCTCAGAATCTGACTAGACAATTCCCATGAGAGTACAGCTCATATTAAAACCTATCCAATATCAATAATTTAGATGAGATTATAACTCACAATAAAATACTCTCATACTTCACAATTCACATGAAATATCAACTCATATTCAAACACTTCCATACTTCAATAAGTACACAAATTTGTTGCACTAATGGAGTCCATCCCCTATCTCCTCTCAAACCATGGAGTACATTCCCTATCTCCTCCCACACAATACAATGTATATAAACAATTATCATATACATGATCAATCAATACACAT